ATACTACGAAGCTGGTTCAACCTAACCTGGATATGTTTGAGTTAGCCGGTTGGCCTAATCCAAAACATACGCGCTCTCGCTAAACGGTACTACGACGCGGGTTATCAAGTGGGTGCGCGTTCACATGAAAGCGGTGGTATTTGGAGCATTCGACCAATCACAAACATGGACAAGTGTACTGACAGCGCAGCGTCATACTTCCTGAATGAAAAGTCAACTATATAATTAGACACATATGAAGACGTTAAACTTGAAACATCCATGACTTAAACACTTTATCCAGGATAAAAGCCACATAGCTGCACCTGCAAGGTGAATACAGCTGGTAAAAGAAAAAGTGTCTGAATGCGTACATTAGCCTAACAGGTTTATGATATCACTGCCCCGTCTAAGACACGAGTGGATCTGACTTTAATTACATTTGTCTCGAGTGTTTCGTCAACTTAATGTGTTGCTTAAAATAATACTTCTGCATACAGTATGTGACACTGTGAGTGTTGCACGGCCAGATACGGCTCAACTGACTCAGATAAGGAAATATATGATACATTATGATGTGATATGCCGCGGACTGTACTTAATGTTACTCTGACCCGGTTACTTGTGTTGTGGCAGATATTTAAGTAAGCTTTCTTAACGCTAATGTTATAATAGTCAGATTGCTCTGAAGATGGGAGGTGATATTCTATTAATGTTCACGTTCACACAGTCGGTGATTTTTGCCGGCCGTCTTTCCTGCAACGGCAGCTTTTCTGTATTTCCTTTCTCCTGTAATATGACTTGATCGCTTTAAACTCCGCACACTGAGCTCTGATTGGTCAGCAGGCAGTGCTTTCACTGAGTTGAGCTCTCAGCCTGCAACCTAACCTGCTCCGGGGCAGGTTAGCCGCACAGCCTAAGTTACCATGGAGATCTAGCCTGCTAAAAAGAGAACCTTCGTAGGACCGGAAACCCCGAGTTTTCCCTGAAGTTAGCCGGCTAAGCGAAAATCCTGCTTCGTAGTATACCCCCCAGGAAATGATGTTGAAATCAAAAACAAGTGCTCTTCAAGAACAGGGCACGTTCGTGTCTCACCCCATGTCGGCACCACCGTACCGCCTCACTTAATCTGGTAACTACTCTGTTTGAGCAAAGGGACAATACCTCCAGTGCCGTCAGCACTTGGTTCTGTCGCGACACGGTACAGCTATGGGATCCTCCAGACTCCTCCTGCCCACTCCTCTACAAACTCTCTACCACAGTTGCGACGTCTGTCCAGGTCCTCCTGCTCCTAGCTGACTCCGCCGGGTCTCAGTCGTCGTTACTCCCGTTAGCAAAACCACTAGACTACTCCCGCCAGAGTCACGACAAACCGACAGACTCCCCTACCTTCCCGAGTATCTCGAGTAGACCAACCTCGTACAAGTGCTACCTCAACCGGTCGCGCGTGAGTAAGGTCTCAAAAACGAATCCTTTCCTTTTCCAACCTCTAGGGCCGGCCACCAAGCCTCAGCAGCCCCAGGTCCGGTCCAAGAAAACTATACTCCCACCGACTTCGTAAAACAGTGGGGGTCTCATCGGGTTATCGTCGAAATGTGTGATCTAATTCTAGTTCATAGAGAAAGACGAGAAATTTCGGGAAATGAGAACGTTTCGGAAAAGTAAAGACGAACTGAGGAGACACCGTTTGGTGACTGTAAAATGAAGAGTCGTTCCGTGTTTCACTATTGACTAAAATCTGTGTACTTTCCTTCGTTAGTCTGTGAAGACTTAGCTGAAATCCAGTGTCCTCTTTTGAGTTGAAAAAATCTTTCTTTAATTTTGCTATAGGAACTTTTGACCGCCGAATCTCCTTTTTACACTGTGCATTATTGTTCGCTTTATGGTCCGATAAGTGAAAGACGTATCACAATGTACTCTTTTAAAACTTTCCGGAGAACAGACATCGCAATCTCCACGACGTCCTTGCTCAAATCGTTTAGCTGTCTTTAATAAAACGTTAAAAGAGTGGCCGAAAAATAGGTCCCATTACGAATTGAGATCCCAGCCAGTCGTTTTTCCTTATGAAAGACCCGTCGAGAAAGTTTTTTAGAATACGTCGGCGTCTGTACGTCCGGACCATCGAATCGAATCAAAATCGTTGTTGCTGGACCTTTGTCCGAACAAAAGTTCTCGTAAAACTCTCCGATTAAATTGTTCCTGACAAAAGAAGACCCGTCGAGTCAAATCTCTCCGTCCCTCTACTCCCTGAAGTAATGTTTCTACAGTTTGATAAGCTGTCGGGGGAATTCGACAAAGGTTAAAGGAAATTAATCTTGTCCTTAGTTTTATTTTCACATATAGCTAGTTGGTCTCTTTATCGGTATAAAAGCTTCGGTTTTTGAGAATAGTCGTAAGACTCCGTTTTAGTCTCATCGTTGACAGATATGGCTACCTGAAAGTGTTGAAAAATTTTTGACAGGAACCAAAGGTGGAATAGTACGTAATACAATGTGTTTTACACGTATATTATCTATGCTCCTGTATTAAAGAAACAGTAAGTGAAAACAGAACATACATCCCCAGGAACACGTAACGTACAACAACTAAAACAACTCGTCTACCAATCCATACATCTACAATGCGTAAGAGATTAAATGGGTTTGCGGGCGAGGTGTTTTCTCAGTTGATAATAGAATTAGATTTCAAAACATTATTGAGATGACGCGTTTTTTTGTCTACTAGGTTGTTAATATAGATGGGAGGGCTCCTGTCTCTCACCCTTTCATCACCTCATTTTTATGAAACAATGACATCGAGTTCATCGTGAAAATAGGTGATGAAATAAAAAAGACTACCTGAAATTGAAGAATATCGTAAAACTTGTGTGTTTATGGACATGAAAGATTGAAGAATGTAAAGGTTTGTCCGACCAAGGAAATCAGACTTACACACAAGACCACCGCACTAGTAATAGTAAGATTCTNCACCAGGTGCACACAATCAGCAGAAACGGACACGATGGGAGGGGAAACACTGAAATATTGGCTTGGAAGCCAGTTTCCTCGCGATTGAGAAACGGCCTCTGTGTTTCCCCTCCCATCGTGTCCGTTTCTGCTGATTGTGTGCACCTGGTGCCCGGTGTTGTCTCCTCCCCTCTCACCTGTGTCTTGCTCAGTTGATTAGTTTGTGTGTATTTAGGTTCTGGTTTTTCTGTTGGTCTTTGTGGGATTATTTGATGTTGTTGGAAGGTTCTTTGTTCAGAGGGATTTTTGTGTTTGTTGCCTTGCTTTATTTTTACTTTGTTGCTAGTTTTTGTAATAAAAGTATTTTTGAATTTGGATATTCTTCTTTTGGGTCCTGTGTACCTTGCCCTCCAGCCGTGACATATACTAACTATAGAAAGAAGGTATTCGGACTCTGTTGACCAAAGAAACCCAGCTGATCAAACAGGCATTTAAATAGAAAGTGGTATGCTATGTTTTAATTTGTGTTAAGTCAGTTACCATGTATATTCAGATTTTTGTATGCACTTGATTAGATTAGATTTGATTGTGAAGCACTCTGTGAGCCGTGAGGGTTGCTGTATAAATAAATTCTGTTTGCTTTCTGGTGACATTAACTTTACATCTCAGTAAAGTTAACACTACCAAAAGCTTAGAAGATAAAGTGAGGGTTTGGGTGGTGAACAAGACAAAACCTATATATATATATATATATATATACCTTATATAGGACTTATACAAACAATCTGACGAGGGGATGAAGTGCAGATGGAAAGATGGAGAAGCCCAGGTGAGAGGAGTGATGAAATTAGGCAGGAGCAAATTTGGAGAGCTGTGGGAGCAGGGAAGGACTAACAAGGCTGATACAGAGCAGGTGTGAAGATGGGCGAACGAGGAAAAATAACACGGGAACTGGAACACTCAGTGGATCGCAGATCATCTTCATTGCAGTTTACTGAGTAACACTTCTTGTTGACTGTATCTCTTTAGAACAGAGCTGTGATATAAATGTGTTGTTTCGTTAGCTGTTATCTCTCTCAGCCAAACAAAGGAGCGAGGAGCCAGCAGTCGATGATTGTGTGAACAGTCGATAAAAATACCTTATTTTGAACTTATGAATCAACGCAACAACGCATTTATAATATTGATAAAAATACAAAGAACATAAATCATAGTCCACAACTCCTTCCAGCATAATAACAAGTCTAGCTTTCTGGAACAAATGCACACTTTAAAGTGGACCTATCATGCTATATTTGAAACATATATTGTAGGGCCATACCTATAAAACATGTCTGTGAAGTTTTTTTAACAAAATACCAAACAGATCATGCATTTTAGCCATGCCTCATTTCGCTCTATTTGCTTTTTTGCAATGGCTGATTCTTCTTTTGTGGCAGACTACAGCGCCACCTACAGGCCTGGCATATGTACTACAGCGTCTCCAGCGCTTTCGAGCGGTCTCTCATTCCCCTGATAGGTGGAGAGTTGCCCATACAGGCGGAGCACCCCTTTTCTGACGTCAGAAAAATTCAAATAATAATCAGCTCCGTTGCAGCCCCGTTTTTTGAGATTTGGGTACGGAGGAAAAGAGAGAGGGCTGTGTTTTCTGACACTTGGTGAGTCCCTGGAACACCGGGGACACATATTCATGTATAAAAGACGTACAAAAGTGCATTTTCCATGGTAGGTCCCCTTTAAGCTAAATGTATTATAGAGTATGGGTACTACATGGATTCTGACATCCCAACACAAACAGCATGTCATTGCAAAACATGTCAAAGCTGTTTTACATGCACACATATGAGCACTTTAAATGTTAATTCATCAAAAGTGTTGCCACTTACACATTCTATCAGGAGACAAATCAATGTGTTGTGATGAGAAGATGAGGCCTGAAGCCGTTAGAGTGGAATTAGAGGAACAGCATAATTATGGTGTCGCCTGCATAATGAAGCGCATGACTCATCTCACAATCAGGGAGAAGGTTACTTTGAATGTACTTAAGAGACTGCTTCTCTGTGTCTTCCTCTCCAGGTAATGTGTTCGTGGTGAGTTTGGCCTTTGCTGATCTTGTGGTAGCTTTCTACCCCTACCCCATGGTTCTCTATGCTCTCTTCCACGATGGATGGTCAGTGGGGAACACACAATGCATGGTAAGATCACATTAGTAACAGCATGTTGCCATTCACTACCAATACAAAGCAATTAAACCTTATACCAGCGGTGTCCAAATCCTTTTTCACCGAGGGCCACATACAGAAATATATATATGAAGGTCTCGGACACTCACTAGAGGTATATCGCCTAATAAGTTCAGTTATAAGTTGAAAAATCAATCCAATGTAGGTAAATAATTCTTGATGCCTGAAAATTCTGTACATCCCAGCTCTCCATAGGGTTTTATTTATTTTGTTAGCAGCTCATCCAAGCTTCAGATTGCTTATAATAAAAGGAAATATGAAGGGTATATTTCAAGGTTGTTATGCAAATGTGTTATTGGGCTTTTTTCTTAGATTTGTTAGAAAATGTTTTCAACTTTAATTGACTGAATTTATTTGAAAATTGGGCTTATTAACATTCAAATACTGTGTAATATATTGGAACATATCGTACAATATAAGACAAGCAGAAGGTTATTATACTTCATAGTCATTATACTTTTTGAATTTGCTGAGGGCCGACTCAAAATGGTCCGCGGTCCGCATTTCGCCCCCGGGCCGTAGTTTGGACACCACCGCCTTATACACTGACACATTTCTTTCTTTCTTTCCAGGTCAGCGGTTTTGTTATGGGGCTGAGTGTCATTGGCTCCATTTTCAACATCACCGGGATTGCAGTGAACAGATACTGCTACATCTGTCACTCATTCTCCTACAGTCGGCTGTACAGCTATCGCAACACTCTGCTGTTTGTTGCCTTGATTTGGGTTCTCACGGTCGTGGCCATAATCCCAAACTTGTTCGTCGGCTCCCTGCGCTACGACCCGAGGGTTTACTCCTGCACCTTCGACCAGAATGTCAGCAGCTCCTACACAGTGGCCGTGGTGGTGGTTCACTTCCTGGTTCCCATTGCTGTGGTTACCTTCTGTTATCTACGCATCTGGGTACTTGTGATTCAGGTCAGTCTAATGCTTCTCTCTGTGGTTATTCGTGTCTTTGCACCCAGATAGAAAGACTCAGGGACAGTTTCATTCCAGAGGCCTTAAGACTGTTAAACACCTGAACTTTAGAAAGAACATCCATACAATTAATCTGTTTGCAACTCACACATTATTTATCTCATATTCAAATTACTTGTATATAGACTCTTCTTGCGCTATTTATATTCTATTATAATTCAATTTACTTGCACTAGTTATCTGTTGTATTGTGTTACACTGTTGGAGGAGCCTGTGGCCTAAGATTTTCATTGACATATCTACACTGTAGCTATGTACACATGACAATAAGGGAAGAAAGCTTTTAGATGTGCAGCTCCACTAACATGGAACAACAGTCTGCAAAAAGAATGGAAAATTACCAAGCTGGTACCACTACATGTTTTTAAAGCTCGGTTGGATGCTACAAAATCAGATGCTGTTGGTACCTGTACATGTGGATAGATAAAATTGTAATCGCTGTACATTTTGCTGTATGATGTCCTTTTGTTGTTCTGTTGTTTATGTTTTTATGTTTTCATGTGGAACCTACTGCTGCAGGTCTCCCTGGAAAAAGAGATCATTGATCTCAATGGGATTTTACCTGGATAAATAAAGGTTTTGAATTGAATTGAAATAAAAGCCGTGGATCCTTGAGTCCTTGAATCATACTAACAGGTGTAAGAAAACACACCCTTGGGCCAAACAATGATACTATGTTTCAGTTCCAAATTGGACTGAAACATAGTAAAATACGGTGGTCACACCCAGGTTTAAAATGTTGACCTTTAATTATTGACCCTCTACTGTTTGAGTAAATACTGAACAAAATGAATCATACCATCATAGAAATCCTTAATGCCATATAACAGGAGTTGAGCAAAGTGATTAGCTGGGATATCATGATTGACAAGCACATAGATTAGATTTGGCAGACCTCTGGAGTACTGCAATATCTCAAAGTCAAAGTCAACTTTATTGTCAATCTTTCAGTTTGTGTGTACAGACAGAGAGGTCGAAATACCGTTTCCCACAATCCTGAATACAAAAATACAAATATATATAAAAATATGTACAAATGTGTATATACCTTTATATACACAATCAACAGACACATGTATACATTATGCACACATTAAGACACATAAAAGCACAACAATCAATATATACAAAATAACAGTCACTTCAATATCTTTGGGTAATGTAGTGTAACATTGTCCATAGCAGCGTATCTGTTTGAGTTTAAGACAGTATTTTTGTATGACTGTAACAAAGAGAGCCGGAGAAAGGTAGCCTTTCATTAACAGTCCAATTCCTATCTTGTGTGTTTTCACCAGGTGCGACGCAAAGTGAAATCAGAGGAGAGTCCTCGCATCAGACCGAGTGACGTGCGGAATTTCATCACCATGTTTGTGGTGTTCGTGCTGTTTGCCATCTGCTGGGCTCCACTTAACCTGATTGGCTTGGCGGTGGCCATCGATCCGTCTCATGTGGTTCCCCGGATCCCAGAATGGCTTTTTGTGGTCAGCTACTTCATGGCCTACTTTAACAGTTGTCTGAATGCCATCATCTATGGCTTACTCAACCGGAATTTCAGGAACGAGTACAAACGCATTGTCACATCAAACTGGATGGTTCGGCTCTTTGTGACGGAGACTTCGCGAGGCGCCACGGACGGCAGGAGCGTGAGGAGCAAGCAGTCGCCGCCTCAACCGATCAACAACAACGACTCTCTCAGAGATCGTTCAAACAAAGAATGACTTTGAAATCTATGAGCCTGTTAAATGGTAATCCCTGTTTTTATGTGACATCCAGTCAGTTGTGCAGCTAAAGTGTCACAGATGAAACTGACATACATACGTAGCTTGGTTTGAGTTAAATGACATTGATCGGAATAAAGTGCAGGGTAACTTGTCAAAAAGTGTTTCAATCATCAAAAGTATTGGAGAATCATGTAATGATTTATTTTTGGTTTTGGTTTGAGTGAGCATTTCACTCAACAACTTTGCTAAAGTGCGAAACAGGGTTGAGTTTCCACTACAAAGTATTAACAGATTAAACAGATCTGCTTTGTCCTGGTAGAACAGAGCCAAGTATTGCAGTTTCATTGTACTCGTACATCTCAAAACAATATGAATGGTAAATTAATAATTCACAAAAATGTAACATCCTTTATTGTCTGCTGGTGTGGACCCGGGGTAATCACTGGTAAACATGTAGCCTACTACTGTTTAGTAACTTCAAAAGCCTCAAATAACTTGCCTCAAATGAATGCTAGAGTTGTAGAAGAGGAGATAATGTCTTTGTGTACATAATCAGTATGATGTGGTGACAGTAATGTAACGTTTTTGCACTGAAATAAATGAAAAACACAAACTTAGTAATGAACATAAAACATAATTCAGGAAATTAGCAACAAGTCATGCACAAAGCTAGAACCACACAATATAAGATGTGCCAATTAACATGGCTGTTTTTAGTTTTCAGTTCCAAAACAAATGTGGAGGAAACCCACATATCTGCTGCTGCTGTATCGATTGCTTCTACAAATACTGCACAACTGCTTTGGTTTGAAAACTAAAATGTATCGCTGTACCATTTAGTGAAATGTAACTGGGAGCTGCATGTAAATACTCACCTCATAGTATTTTTGTATGTGGTAAAAAAAAAATCTGAAAAGAATACCCATCTTTTTCCCTGAAGGCTTAATTTGATATTACAATAAATTGATTTCTCTAATGTTTTCCCCCCAAAATATTACAATAAGTCACAATTACATTATATTGGCTCCTAATTTTCTAATGTTCTGTTATATCAGTGCAATATGAGTTTATAAAGAGCACAAAAACATCTCAACATATTTCATCATGTGTAGTTAAAGCCAAATGTATAGCTTGTAGCGTTACACAATAAATACAAATATTTAAAAAAGAATACATTGTGATACAAACTACAAAACTGTGAAGATAGGGCTATTAAAACAAAGGAACTCAATACATATATATTCAGTCTTAACCTATTCATTTACTATTTAATTTAGAGAATATCAGTGGTGGTATGAAAGTACATTTCCTCAAGTACTGTGCTGAAATTGATTTATTAGGTATTTTTAAGGAAGGGCTTTAAGTTTATTTTGATGCTAATACTCTTTGTAGTATCACATACAGTTAGTACTTCTTTCCGCACTGTAGAAAACCCACAGTGCAGACTTTACACAGCGAGTGCACAACTCCATACACTGATGGCAACATATTAACAACATCGTAGTACAATTTTCCATGAATAGCCAAGTACTACAGCATGTGCACAAGAACACTTTGCTATGCAATTTGAAACAAAGTGGTCCTGATTCAATATCAGTTGCAACTAAAACCCATATCCAGTTGAAAATAGTCCTTCACCTTGCTATATTTATTTATTTGACTGATTCAGTGCAAAATTATGCTGCACTTTAGGCCTCACATCAGGCACACTAAAGGACTGAAATACACAGCAAGTTCAGGCTGATCTCCTGCCTTCTATGTTTGAAAAGCTTCAGCACCTTGAAAAAGGAAAGCTGGTCAAAACATTTACTGAATGTGCAGCGAGTTGTAAAGGAGCGCAGGTCCCTCTGATGCTGTATGCAGAATGTGGTCAATTATTTGTCTTTATTCTGAAGTACTTATGCAACAGTTTAGCTTTTCATTTCATAGGTAATGTGTTTTCGTAGTTAATAAAACAAACCTTATTCATCAAGGCCACATTTTGATGCTTTTAACGTGGAAAAAACAACTAAAAGAGCACAGCTAGGGATGCATTGTGGAGTTGTACTGTCACTTGGTTGTACATAAACTGACAGAAGAGTGACATTCATTGCCTCTCAACTGAACAGTGCGCTGAAAGATGTAAATTGTTGAGAAGTTACTGCTCACATCTGTATTTCCATCTCAGGGTGCCTACTGAACATGTTGTCGTGCTTCACAGTTTTTTGGCTGCCATATACATTTCAAATTTGTATTACTGTCAGTGTGGTGTTTAACTGTGGTATATTGTTATGGAGATGTCTTTGAAATTGTAATATATGTGTCAGAAGCTCAATAACCGAACAGATTAACAGTGTATTACCGTTTAATGCTCTCTTTTTCAACTGCAAAGTGCTTCAAAAACAACCTCTTGCTTAATGGGAATGTACATTGCTTTACCACAAACATTTGTATTCCAGTGTGGCTTGATTAAATCAACTTATAATTGCAAATTATAGTCTGAATAATATTTTTTTATAATAGAATCATATTACTTTAATTAGAACCTAAAAACAATATATACAATTATCATATACATTTAAAAAAACAAACAAATGAAGTTCCTCACAATAATGAATTTTTTTTGGGGTTGAATTTTTCACATTTGAAATGATAACACGTCCGTGTGTTCTTATACAGGGTACACATGTGCAAAGCCATAGATCAACAATGGTAACACATTGAATTGAAATAAAAATAGGAATATTTGGAAGCACCTATTTGACCCTTGCGGTGCAGAGGAGGGCAAGGGTACATAGAGTCTTTGCTAAAGATATAAGAATGAGATAATTATAAAGATTTAGTTAACTCTATGGCGACACAATGCTGTCCTGATAAGGAAAGGTGAGAAGGTCGCTCGGGAAGTGGGAGTTGTGTCCAGGTTACTGCAGTGTAGAAAGAGCTTAACAGCAAACACTTAAAGTTCCCCTACAATACTGTTTTTCATCAATATATTATAGGTCTCAGATATATAAAAAACATGTCTCTGAAGTGTTTGGCTCCAAATACCAAACAGATCATTGCAGCATCCCATAATCCCCTCTGTTTCAGCCCTGTTTCAAAAGGGCTGATTCTCTGGGTGTTTCTCAATGTCGAGGAAAGCTGCTCCAGAGCCACTATTTCAAGGATACTATGTCATCGAGTCCCGCCGAAGGACTGTTCCAATGTCCAGGATTCTTGGAATTCTACCGAGGCCGGCATCCTTCGTCGCGCAAAATTTCGAGGCTGCACATGTGTAGACTCCGCGGTCTTAAAATCCCCACAATGCTTTGCGCACGGACCAATTTCCAAACCTTTGGCGGAAGTCGTGTTCCATTTAAGGCAGGGCCACGCATATGACGCACACCTGCACATCTGTTAGCCTGTTCCACAATTCTTCGTTTTCCGATGCTCGGAAGGATTCTTGCCTCGCTTCTGAAGCAACTGACTCGGAGGTACATGTGCTACCAAGGAAGCATCCTCGACATTGAGAAACACCCTCTGTCTGTTACTTTAGATGAAAATAAGGAGCCCCTCTCCACGCCCCTCTGAGAGATATTTGGTTAAAAATAACACAATGGTGCTCTAGGAGGAGATTCAGGTGATAAGGTGGGGGAGGGGGGTTACCTTGGTTGGTGATTGGCTAATGGTTACACAAGCCAAAACATCGTTATGACATCATAAGGTGGCCAAAATCTGATCAGCTCATTTTCAGACAGGTTTTTATATAAATGGATCAGGACAAAGAGAGAGAATCTTTTTTCCTGAAACTTTCAGAATCTCTTTACACAGAGGGGACACATGTTGATGTAGAAGAGACATGAACAAGTGGATTTTGCATAATAGGTGACCTTTAACAAAAACTAAACAAGTTTACATGGAGGGAAGCAATGACTTTTAAACATTCAAACCAAAGAAATATGCATAGTTAAAAAGGGTTAGTTGTACATACAATGAGTTGAGTTACTGCAGGGGGAAACCTTTAGTCTTTTTTCATTCAACAGTGCTGCCTTACAGTTAATACAATTGTGTAAATCTTTAATATTATGGCAAGTGCCAGTTTCTCTATTAAAAACAAACTCATTGCCTTCATACTGCTTCTTTCTAAGGATTCAGCCGAGTCATCTTAAGAAAGTTTTCTATTCAGCATTGTGCTGAAGTTCACATGCATGCCTCAGGCAAGAGACTCAATTGCCGAAACAGAAGAACAAACATTATCTTTCTCTCTCTCTTTGAATTTCCTACTCTACATCCACATTATGCAACTATGTTCCTTTATGTTCCCTATGCTAACCGTCTGCACCCTTACTTTAAGGTTTTTTCACAGTGCGACCGAAAAATGACACCACGCTCGACAGCTTGAAGGATAGATCCACAAACCATGTTTGAACTTCACAGCTTGAGTTTTTACATTTCTCATTCAACTTTAATGTGGAATATAAAGGTAATTATTTAGTGTGCCAAATCCTAGGAGGAATATGGTTTTCAATGTGAAATAAAGTGGCATTACAATGCTTATCAAAAACAAAAAGGTCAAATAACAGTATTTAGTAATTGGATGTATTTCTTACCTTCTGCCTTTTAATGTAGCTGAAGTTAATAACACATACTTTTATTCTCTGGTACATTAATACATGCCTGACTATGTGGTGAGCTTCACATTTCCAGGACAGGTATTTGGGTGTTTGATTACCAGGCTGGAGTGTTTTCACCAGGAGAGATGCCGCAGCACAGTGGTAGTGATTGTAACTAAGGCCAAACATTTTAGGTTCTGAAAAAAACTGTGAATTAAAGCTGATTTTTGGTTTGATTTGAAAAACAAACATATTCTGTTTATTACTAATGCATAAAAGTGTCTTTAACAGAAATAGGCAGTGGAGGTTATCACTGTTTCTCATTGAAAGCTAGTATTGAGTCATTTTGAGTGCTATGCTCAAACAAACACACTCTTTCTGCAATATGCTGTTGGCGTTCATATGGCACCATCCCTAAAATCTGTGCACATTATTGAAGCAGGTTTGACATTTCCTGATAATAATCTTTATTTGTACAGCACCTTTCATACAACAAGTGCAGTCCAAAGTGCTTCACATAGACATTTCACAGATGTAATCACACAGAATACAGATACCAGTAAAAAAACTGATGTTTCAGACATTAGCTTTTCAACCATATGATCTTATGGAGAAAACGTAACATGAGGGAAATGATGCATATGAAATAGCTTTTATTTGCCAGCTGCTATTAATACAGTCACTTCATTTTATTTGTTATGGATGCAGTGTTAAAATTGCAAACCATAGGTCACAACATATTCCCAAATGATAGAAACCTCATCAGTGATTAAAGCTTTGGTATGATCAGAAATACAACATTGTGTCTTGATCTGTTAGATGTCCGCTATGCTTCATAAGCAGGTATACTGTAAGACATAATCAACTCTGAGCTTCATGGGACATTCAGAGTACAAGTTCTTAAACCTCAATGTTCTCTGTCTTTCGTTTTCAATGTGAGATACTGATTATACAGTAGCCAGTTTTCTTTTTGTGTCACACATGGTTATGCAACAGCAGGACAACATCAGCTCAAAGCCTAAGGCAGAAAAGGATGCATTGCTGATCTAATTAGGAGCAAGGTACGTCCGCTCACTTGGATGAAAATAAAATGACACGCCTTGGGAACATACTGGTGATTGAATGTGCTTACAGTTTACTGTCACGGGAAATGAAATGACGAACCACAGAAACAGAAGCTGTTTATGCCTGGAGTTTACTGATAGGAAGCCAATTGATGTAAACCATTAATACAAAAATGGAACAGCTTTTAAAATGTTTGCAAAGCACAAATCATTTTGATCTGATAAACATTTACACTGTGATGAAGGAGCTCTGGTTGCCCATAGATTGAATTATTTAAGGAATGTCAGACAATAATTCCTGCTTCACAATGTTTTGTTTTCAGTTTTAAACGAGCCACCAGATTGAAAACAAAAAAATTAAAGATGTGTCTTTTTGGAACATTTTGAAATGTGTGATTGGCATTGAGTAAGTAGTTGTGTCTTGTTTTCCAGATGCTGTGCGAATGTGCATGCTTTTGTCTTATGTTGTTTTAATGACGTGAATCTCCTTGAGAATAATTCACTAAAAGGTGCAGGACGAGAGGATGTTCTGAGAAACCAAAGGGAAATCTGTGGAATGTAATGGATCTTAAAAATTCAACACAACTCGGTTGTGGCACTGAACCTCATCAAAGTGAACCGTGTGTAGAAAGATATGCATTACGTGTACAGTTCTTTACGGAAAATAAAATGTATGTATCATACTCATTGTTGCTTGCTCCCTTATACAGTACACACTCTAAAAGACGTGTGGCTCTCCCTTCAAATATTGTTTTATATTTTATTCCTGACAAAGTGTTTGCAAGGTTTTCTTTTTGAATAAATCACTTAGAACTCATATCTTATTTTATATTAGGATGTCTTGAGGGTGATTTGACTGAGCTTCCTGTAGTAGGTTCGCTCTTAAGGCTCAGAATTGGAGCTTTTACCAGCGAGTGGTGCACACTTTGAAGTCCCTCATGTCCATACACCCAGCTGCCTTGCATTTGAAGACTCTTCTCTTATACGGGTAGGAGATGGAAAGATAGTTTGAAAGGAAGGAATTGATTGCTGCTCTTAGTAGGTAAAAAAAAATGCTAGGGGTGGGAGTGAGGTAAGCAACTTGCATGAAAGGCTATACGACGGGTCAGTGCAGCCATGCTCTCCTGTGCTTCTGTTAAGATATATTCTTTTTTAAACATGTATTGATTTTTTCCATTTATCACATTACATTAACACAACCGAACATTCCCCAACATTAGACGTATGGCAGATTACAAAATAACGCAAAATAAATTGTGTGTAGATTCTAGAAATTAGTTTAAAGTACAGACCAATAATATAATTACATTTGCAAATTAACAAAAATACAATAAAAACACATCCACAAACAGAGCCGAGTACAGCTTACTATTATCCAAATAAATTAACCATATTCAATATTTCCTCGCAGTTTAGTCTTTTCACTTTAACCTTCCATAGCTTCTGCAATGTCCCCATGTAAAGATATTTTCTTTTGAATGTGTTCTCTTTTAAATCTGTGAAACTTAAATATAACATTTTTAACTAAGGCTTCAGCACTTTTTTTATTTGAATAATTTCCAATCAGTAGTGGTGTTTTCAGCAGTTTCTGACATGCTCACGATACTATAAAGGACATTACAGTCTTACAATAAACATCACACAAGCCCACAGAATTTTTATACAAAAAAGGAATTGCCAGGAAGAAAAGGCTTTTCTGAAAATGAAATGCAGAATGGATTTGAACAGACAGCAGGACATGGAGAAGTGGCTGGAGGTGATCCAGCACCGGAGGCGATTATGATTATTCTGCGAGGGGATGTAGTTAAATGAAATTACTCTATGGCT